ATTCAGAAAAGTTTCTTTTCTCCCATCTTATCTCACAGTTGGGATAAGACGAGACCCCCGTGGGCAAGATGAGGTACCTATTAACAAAAGATATAAANTTTATTATTTACTGGGTAGACAACGAAGGCACACATGTATACCTTTATGATCATCGTCTTCTATATTTGCACACGAGCAACGAGCATTTTGATAATAACCCATCTTATTTTCTAAACCAGCAGTAACCGCGTTTTGCATTGTTTTTTTAAATCAATTGTTTCAGTCCGTCTTTTGTTTGTAGTTTCTTATCATTCTGGAACAATGGTAAACTTAGATTTTTATTTATATCTATTTGTCTATGTGGGGCAAGATAAGATAGATATTAAAAATACTCGTTACCTCATCTTGCCTTTTCTTGTCTCGCTAAAATATCAACAAATTTCCACCATTGTACACATTTTTAATTCGTTCCATAGATTACAGTTTACATGTGAACTACAAGTGAACAATGCTCTCAACTTTCTCGACATATCAATCATCATAGAAAACAACAGATTGATTTGCGATTGGTATCACAAACCAACTTATTCTGGCCGATAAATTATCATTCACAAAATCCGATTAGCAATAAAACAGACACCATATACTCACTTGTCAATAGAGCTATACTTTTATCTGAACCACAATTTCACAGAAAAAATTTAAAATTCACATTATTAACATTTAATTGAAGAATAACTATCTAATACTAATAGTACTAATTTTTAATACCATCAATAAAAAATTGAGAACAGTATTCTTAAATAATTTAACAAACACGTTGGTAGTTCTATACAAAAAATAAAGATGAAGAAAAAAAATTCTTTTTTGTCCTTCCAAACATACATAATTATAACACCATGTTTAATCATATAAATATCAATAACAAAAATATCAAACCTACATATTGTAATTTAAACCAGTTGTCGAAATTTATTAGAACACATAAAGATCCTATCCCTTTCAACAAGCACAAAAATGTCGTTTACCGTATTTCTTGTCAACAATGTACATTTTCCTATGTTATATAAATTAATAAACAAGTAACAATTAGAATAAAAGAACACATTAATTATGTAAAGAAAGAACAGATCGACACTTCAATAGTAGCCAAGCATAGTATCGAGACAGGGCATAGTTTTGACTGAAATTCTGTTAAAATATTAGACATAGAGCAGAACAATTATAAACGACAAACCTCTGAAATGTTATACATTAAAAAACAGGAGCATGGTTTGAATTTGATGAAGGACAAGAAGGTTTTGCATGATACATATATACTTATACTTGACAAACTACAATTTCAACATGCTGAGGGAGTGTTGCTTGTTGAATTCAAACTCTTTCGCTCTTTAACTTCCCTGATAGGAAACCATTTACAAAATTATGTGACAAAATCTTGCACTAAAATTGTAATTTGCAATTATACAGATATATTTTAGGAAATAGATGTAAAAACATTGATCTTTTCTAAAATATTTGTAGTCGTTTGCCAAATTACTTTCCAAAATACTATTTTGGCAAATGAATAACGATATGGCGAATTATCTTAGCAGTATATTTGCAAAATTAATTTCACAAAGATTCACAAAGGAATTGTCCAATAATTGAGACAAGAAATTCAGCTATGTGATGTTTCAAATATGTAGAAATATGATTGCATATGAAGAAATGCAAGAAATCGTCGTCACTCATGATGTCATATTTGTGCACTAATTTCACAATTTGCCTATTATGGTTAGTATCGTTCTTACATTTGTGCAAGCATGACTTGTACTTGAAACTCAATTGTATATTTTTATTGTATGACGTATATATTAGTTTTTAATTAAATCAGTTGTAAATGTTAATTTCTTTGAGGTATGTAAAATTATTTATGGGTGTAATGACAGCTCTGCATTTCAAGTTTTACTGATAGTTGTACATTACACAGCCACACAAAAAAAAAAAATTTNTTTGGCCTGGGGATCAGACCATGTTTATTATATGTTTTTGGGGTCGCTGAATCCGAATCCGAGGTCCATTAA